CGCAGGCAAAAAGGATTTTGGCCGCTGGCGGGTGGGGCTAGTTTACTAGGCTACATCTCTACGCGTTTCCATCCGAATGTTTTGGGAATTTAGGGAAATAGAAAAACACAGCTGGAGACATGTCTATTTTCAACTTTCCTCTTGTCTAGAAGAGTTGCCCAAAATGAGCGGGCAGAGCCGACCTAACTATTAATTTTATTGCTCCAGAGTGGGCGTGGCCTGATTAATGAGGAGACTTATTTAATACTGTTTGAGCAAAGCCTGACTCATTCAGTTAAACCTAAAAAATCCTAAGTTGGCCTAATAAAGTTCAACCTAAATAGCTTGATTGTGATGTCACAGGCACCGTTTTAATAGAAAAGCTCATTCAGAAAGAAGATTCTTCTCAGAACCTCATTCAAAAACTCAGGACCTGGACAGGAAGCTCTGACCCTGAAGGAAACCAGTGAAGGACACACCTCTCCACTATTTAAGGAAAATTATCATCCATGATGTGAGTTTATTACACCTTAATATTTTGATAAGGCTGGAGCCATGGATGTCTAATCATATGCTAACATGTATGATGTAAAATAAGATGATGTGGCAGACTGGAGATGTATAAAATGCCTTTTTAACTGTTAATTGGGGCCACTTCCTGAGAGGTGAGCAGCTGCCTTCTGTAGATTCTAAGCAACTTCTCTGATCTTAGTAAGATTACATTTTCTATCAGAATCTGTTGTCATGTCTCATGGTTATTTAATACATAAAAGTTATGAGATGTTATTTAAAGAGTGTGTTCCGAGTGATCTATTTTCAGGAAAACGAACCAGAGAGAAAGCTTCAAGGTGTCGACATAGAGCCTATCTTTAACAACTCGCTCTCACCTGGATTCAGGAAACTTGGTGAGCGTGGCCAGGCTGCTGGTGTACATGTGTCCGCCCACGTCGATGTGGACGGGGGCGTTGGCTTTGGTAAGCTGGGCAGGCGAGGGGATGCCCTGGGCCGTCATGGGGGAGGCAGGCGAGTGACTTAGAGACATCCTGGACAGGCTCCGCCCCTCCTGGGAGACACAATCAGCATGTAAAAAGAGAGTTGCGTAAGAGATCGCCCCTCAGCACTTCAGCAGCTCTGACCCATCTGAGTCGTTCTCATGTTTTAAGCCGACCTTTGTTTACATTAAGTCGATTACTGGTTGGTTTACAGACAAAATATTAGCTGGATGACAGAAATGCCTGCTGATTAAACAACACATCACCTAAAGCTAATGTTCCAGGTATCTGCAGGTGAAGCTATCTGAGACTAAGTCTAGAACAAATATTAACTAAATAATTTTTTTTATTAAGGCCTTAAATGGCATTAAAAATAATTAAATGTGATTCCAGGTAGCATTTAAAACTCTGTTTTTATTACAGAGAAATACTTTTATACAAACAGATTTGTTAGATATGTTAATTAGGCAGAACCAGACTTAGGATCCAACTGGTGAAGACGGAGAGAAGAAGATAAGGTGCAGTTCATGGATTATAAAGAAAAGAGCAGGT